GTGTGCTTGATGTAGTGAGGTCTTGCCGGAAGGCTAGAAAAACAAGTTTTAGGGCAAGTTTTAGGCAAAGCCGAGATTTGGCAATCGGCCCTGCAGCATGTGTAGGCAATGGATGATGCTTCAACCATTAAATTCACACAGCTCTGAACTCAGCACGAATATTCATGGCGCTTATTACGAAAGTGCACATGCACAAGAACTGCACTAAACACTGGCACAGCAACAGGCTATGCCAGATTTCACACACTCTGATTGCGAATTGAGGCGTTGTCTTTGTTAATGGATTTCCAGGAAACCAAGCATAAATAACAATATTTTTTCACGACACATCCAAATTACATTAATTTAAAAGGTTTATTTTTCAGTAGCATTAATTTTGTGCCCTGCCTCAAAAAATTAACAAAAAAATATGGTTTTAAATAACCCCATTATTTTATTATTCACCTGAAAAAAATTGAGGGTTGCCAAATTTGATCAATATGCAATAAAAATGAATTTTCCTCTTTATAAAAACTACATTCATATAAACTACAAGACTGTCTTAATCGACTGCACCAAAAACTGGGAATCCTCCCACATAAAAATTTTTGTTAAAGAAGTTTGAATTTGAACCAAATTTTCGCGCCAAATCGTTTGAATCCAAACGTTTTGTAATGGAAAAATACATCGCATATCTCATCTAAAAAACGTTTATGTCCTATAAAAAATAATTCTTAGAGCCAGGAATTATTGCTTAGTCAACGTTTGACAAAAAAAGAGGATACCCTTGGATACTCTTGGCAGACTTTTGAGTTACTTTCTTGCAGCGGGAAGTCACGGCCAAGTGAAGTCGTGTATACATGTGTGTTTACATGCGTATGCGTGACATGTACACGTACATGTTCATACACATGTGCTGGGGCAGACGCGACGACTGTGACGTCTCATTACCGCACTGGTAAATGTCCACAGCAACGGAAGTGATGAACAAGAAATTCACTAATTTAACTACTCTACCTTACAAATGAAATGGTATCAGAAACAACAAAATCAGTCCAATCTAACAGAAAATCATCATCCGCGTGTTGGATACACCATTTTGTTCATAAAAATGGGTAAGAAATGGCTTTGAATGTTCGTGCACCACTGGATCAATAAGATTTTGGGGTGATTCCGAATGACCTGATTATGAACGATTTTATCCGAGTGGATTAAAAATAAATGCTTGAAATCAATGCATTATGGGTTAATCTTGCATTTGGTGCTAGATTTTTGTCTCAGAAAACTTATTTTCTTTTAAAAATTAACTGATGAAATTAACAAAAAATTAATTCAATTTTTTTTTAAAAGGGTCCATAGAATCCACTTTTTTTACTGTTCTGAGATTTAAAGTTATTTGAAAATCTTGCTAAGGGAGAAAAATTGTGTGTTGTTCATGATGTCATGTTTAAATCCTCCTGAAATTTATGCTTAGTTATACCTGTACAATGGTTTTTTACAAGGTCAGTCACTGAAAAATTCTCCACTATAACATAACCTCGTCTGCTTGCACACAAACATGTTGTTGTCTGCTTGAAAATGAAGTGGACATGAGTGCTTGTAATGAACACTCTCTATGGGGCATGAACATACACGTATGTGCCAGACTCATTCACTTCATAGAAGTAGAAAAAGTATCGGAAAGTGAAATTAATCATTGACATTGAACCAAACAAGAGTTATGAAAATGCAAGTTTTTTAGACGAGATCTAAAAAAGGATCAATTGTTTCATGTCAGGTTAGTGGTGTCATGAGAAAAAATAAATAAATAAATAAAAAACCTCCCACCAGACCCAACTTTCTGGGGGGAAAAAGGGCGATTCCTAGACTAACAATTTATATTTTAGGCGGCTGTACTATCAGATCAAGCTGGTGCTCTCGAGTCCTAGGTTTCTTGTGTGGTTTCACAGGCACTGGATGAAAAATACCCCACTTTTGAACCAAAATACTGGATGTGTGCATGCAGAGTTGGTCTTCAACTTTGCATGTCAAGTGCAAACCGTGCGCGGCTTTTCAAGGGCGCCCACAACTACCTACAGCTGACCTAGCTCCAACATTTCCTGCTGACAATGATCAGTGTCATGACTACCATACCGACACGGTTGATGCAGGCCTACTCGGACTCTTCGGTCCGACTTAGGCCCAAGCAACATGACAGCAACACCGGTCACACCGTAGTATTTCTTACCTCTTTGTTCTCCATCATTTCAGTATTTACTGCTAGCAGCTATGCTCCTACCGTCACAAGTCCTTGCCAAACAAATAAATAACTGCTATGGAAGCCGGAACAGCGTTTATGGTTTCGCAGCACCCATGCCCAACAGCTCTGCTAAAAAGTAAGTTTAGTTTTGTTGAGGGCGCTGTTGACCTGCGAGCACGACATAAAATACCGAGGTATTTTATGGTTGCGTCAAGCATGCAGTGTAGTTGCATTGCTGGAAATCATACTGCGCCTATATGTGCAATAATTGTGGTGCTCACCGCACTCGCGGTTTCACCTTTCCCGCCTTGTATTTTGATAGCAGAGACTTATTAAAAGAAACGCACTTTTATGACGCACAGAATTCCAAATTCGAGCAACTTTTTGTATTGAACAAGTTACAACATTGAGATTTCTACTAAGAATGAAATAATCAACTTGACATTACTGCACGCCAACGCAATGCAGCAACAGCAGTAATAAATCCGAAACTAATGCACTTTTCACAAAAATAATACGGAAATTCGCTTCAGCATAAAACTCAAAATGTCAAAGGCCTTAAAAATAGCAAAACAAACAAAAATGAGAATAAGCTCACAGGAAGGACATTTCAAGGACTGCATAAAAATGTACTGCATATGCCTTTAATGCATAGCACGTTAAATGATGGTCACTTTTAGTTTCGAGCCGCTCATCACCATCAAGAAGCCAACTTACTTAAAGATCAGGGGGGGCTTTTTGGAAAGTGCAATAATATCACTTTCACACTGTGATAAAGTAGCAGTTTCGACATTTATTTTTCTTGTTTATAACCATTTTTATTATTAGGTTTGAAATATCAACAAAGTATTTGGTTTGGATCGTTGTCAACCACAACGAATAAGGAGATGTTGGGTTGCAATGCATTCAAGCTTACGGTTAGTCACCGAACAAAGGAAATCAGGCAGGGTGTACATATATATACACTCGTGTAGCCAGTGTGGATCTACATTCGACGCATTTCCACAAAGAAAGATAACTCTATTGAATAGTTATGACATTCAACAGAAAAGCTTGCAGTTTTAAGTTTCCCCGGCTTATTTATGTTCTTTGTAGCATCGAGGTACACGTATGTTTGGGAGTAGGAGGCGCCACCAAGACAGAGTCAGCGTCTCTAAATGGGCACATATGCCACGCAGGAGCCATCGCTATGGAAATGAAGAGTTCACCATCTTTAGTGAGTACCTGAGCACCAAAATAAACAGAAGGCAGAATCAGGCAGGCTTATTGTAGGAGTGTGAAACTTTTAATCTGTCTGATCAGAAAGTCGGCAGAATCCAACACACAATTTGTACTCCTGGCGTTGTCGCATTCCTCTTCAAACCAGGCTTCTTCCCGTCAGTTTGTTTTTGAAGCGACAAAAACACCGTAACGTTTCAAAAGAAGCCCACCTTGCCTCGACCAACTGACGAGCCCAATGAAAATTAAATTAAATTCATTTATGGAATATTTATAAATTCATCACAAAAATGTTTGATACATTGCTGCCATTTTTTCAGTGGCTGTTTGAATTTTCAAATTAACAAGTATACTTTGCATGTTCGTCGGCGATTTACCCTCATAAAGAGTCACGAGTCCAAAAATGTGAGGACAATTTAGTAAAGTATATAACTAAGCATCAGAATTATATGTTTGTTCGCATTATTGTCAGAAATACTGAGATATTTCTCAAACCAATTTTGCCTACTGACGGACCAGGGAAATTTGTTCTCCAAAGAAATAGGTCTTTACATAGAAAAGCTAGTCAATTAGAGCAAAATATTATAGCATGCTGGTTGTGTTTTTCAGATAGGAGGGCGAAACGGACCATTTTTTATATTGGGAATTTTACCTGACGTATAAAAAATGAAAAATATTGTAAGTCATTTAACAGATCAAAGTTATGTTCCAAGTGTTAACATTGTGTAAAGTGAGCCAAAGCCGCGCAAAGTAATTTTCCCCTCTTGAAAAAAAAGAAGTTTAAATGATCTTTTTGGTTATTGTTATAGAAAGATCAAGAGGTACAAAAACCGTCAACAAAAATTTGGTTTACTTGAGTGTTACCAGAGCACACAAAAAGTTGATGTCGAAATCCTTTGTTTTTCTGTAAGGAAAAATATATATGTAATGCAAACCGAGTGCATGTGTGTGTGGAAGGGAGGTCACCACGTTACCGGTATTTGTTTACTCTTAGGCAAATTAGGAACGAGTTATAGAGTCATTTCTGTCTCCACAACGTTTTCAGTTCCCCAAAATTGGTGTATAATGTCGAGCGTAGGTTCCCACACTTACGGAACTTATGGGTGTTCAGTGGTAAAATAGCGCTCACCATTAATATGTCATCTTTTCAACACATAATGCTGCTCTTGTCTCATTGACATTTAGCCAGCGCCTTTGGGTTAAAAGCACGAGGGTAACCCCAGTGGAAATTTGTGTCCCCTCCTCAAGCCCCCTTTATACACAATCTATACAATATATTGGCTTTCGATGCCATGAGCGTAAATCCCGGGGGATGGGGGGTTTATATCCTCCACCACTTTTTTTTTGGGGGGGTGGACTATTAAATCACCCCCACACACATCCACCCACACACACAGTTTTTTGTGATGAGCAAATAAAAAATAAAGCGGATTGTGAAGAATTTTCAGGATTTCACAACTACTAAAATCTTTGAAATATCAATAAAATAAAAGCCGTTAATATACCATTCTGGTGCTCTGCACAGATGTACATCATCATCATAAACATTGCCCCCTATATGGTGTATATTGTGCCCCTCCCCTTTTCCAATTTCTATGCCGGCATGTCATCCCCCACCTTTCCCCACCCCCCAACTTTCAAACACAGATTCACGCCACTGTTGCCCTTGAAACAAGTGTACACCCTCAGCCTTGTGGCCCTTCATACAGAAATATCACCCAGTGACGCCACTCAATCAAGGGCGGATCCCAGAATTTTGTTGGGGCCAAACATGTTATTTTTAGGGACGGGGGTTCTTTTCCTTGTAACCTTCCATGGCTTTTCCGAGAGGTGGGGTTAAATTTGACGGCGGATCCAGAATTTTGTTCGGGTAAAACATGTTATTTTTTAGGGGGGAGGTCTTTTCCTTGTAACCTTCCATGGCTTTTCCGAGAGGTGCGGCTAAATTTGAGGGCTTTTTACGCGCCTTTGGAAAGGGAGAATGAAACCTTTAAAAATCGCCTTTCTCCGCTATTTTAAAAACTAAATAATAATTACAACATAAAACAAAATAACTCGGCCCTTTTACTGTATTATTCAATATCAACTGTGTTAACTTCCGATAATACGAAAAGGGCTGGCATATATTCACTTCTCCTGTTCCACCCTGCCCTACTTCTGCCTCACATCTGCACCAACTCGTCCCTTGTCCCTCCGTGCATACATGTAGTCACACTTGTAATTACACTACGCCTTGGTAGGTCTCCACTCCAGGCACTTTATAAATTATCAGCGACTTAACTAAATACCACAAGTGAACGCACCAACAAACCAGTTCTTTTCCCCCACAGATTTCGAAGCTGCGATGCGCCCAGTTCTCTGTCAGCAGAAGAAATGGTAAATACTGTATACAAAGACGTCTTTCGTAGCACTGTTAGAGCATGTCAAGGTTTAGCTTGGTTTAGCAGTTGACTTGAATCACGCGACTTGGACTCGAACCGGACCCGAGTCACTATTTTTGCGACTTATGACTTAACTTGTAACTTTCTTTGACTTGTGACTTGACTTGGACTTGTGACAATTATGACTGTTATCAACGCCAGCTAGAAACAATGAGCGACCCCATAAACTTTTACAGTTTTACCGAAGTAGTATAGAGAAGCCCCGTGGTGCGATGAGGTATAGTTAAAAATAAAAAAAAGAACTTCAAAAAAAATCCTGGAAGCTACCTTGAATATATCTCATTGCGACGGAACAAAATACTTTACTTTTTTTAAATGTATGCTTCATTGCATTTGTGGACTTTCTTATAGTATTGTAATACAAACGTAAATTTAACAGTTAAGTGTATAAGAGAGGAGTCAAGGTCAGTAGTCCCAAACTCGTAACACTTGAGGTGACGCCTGACCCTGTTTGCTTATTACAGCCAGAAAAAAAAATGTTCGATTTGATTTGTACTTCGATAGAGAGACTTGTGACTAGCCTAATGTTTGGACCACATTGACTTGTAATTTCATCTTTAACCAAATGACTTGTTACGTACTTGTGACTGGACCCAATGAGTTTTGACTTGGCTTGGACTTTAAAAGTGGAGGTACATGTACAATGAAACAAGGCTTGGGATGGGGCAGAATATTCTGAGGGAAATATGTGTGCTTCATTTGGCTTGCTGTGTTGAAATCATACACTAGTGCTAGTATATCGTGTGATCTTCGCTAACTACTAACCCATTGTAAATTCTAAGTATATGGACATCCGGAACTCAGGAGGAGACTAATGAACGGAATGGTTAGTGAGCTCATTAAATATAACGGCAGACAGCCTTCTTCAATATACAATTTATGGGGTGTGGTGCTAACGGGAGGAAGACCTCTCTCAAACATTACTTTCACCATTATCTGATTTCAAGCAACTACCGGTATATCGTTAACAATTTTTTGTAGTCAGTTGACTAAAAAAATAGTTATGCACACTGTCTTATTTGAGTAATTAATAGATAGTCATGCATGGATGCATAGATTTGACCACTTATAATAAATGTAGTCATGAAAAAGCGTCTTATTTGAGTGATTTTTCAAGTGATGAGAAATAAAAAAAAATTAGTTATGCCAAATAAATATATTAGTAATGCCGGAAAACTAATTACTAGTCATTCTGACTACTTTAAATTGTCATGTGACTATGTTGATTGCTTACATTACATGTCACTTTTAAGGTAATCACACTTGAAATGAGTCTGAAAACAATATTGCAATTGGTATTTCAGAATAATTCCTGATTAAAACAGAAGAAACCCACACAATTTGTCAAATCAAATGAAAGTGTAACCTATCTCCCGCCTACAAAGTTCCTGAGTGTATACTACACGTAATTACTTTCAAGTTTCAAGTGACATTGTCTGATGCTTACCTTTTTGAAAATCTTCGGAAGAAACTGAACACCTATATACAGCCATGCACAAATTGTCTCCGTTTTCTCGAAGTGACGCAAATCTGGCTTTTGAGGAAAAACAGGTTTACGAGATAATAGCCAGAGAAATTTTTCCTTTATAAACAATGCCAAAATAAGTAATTTGTGACAACTTCATTTAACAAAAATCCCTTAAATGATTCTTTTATGTATAATCGTTCACTTCACGTGAATAATTAGTATGAAAAGGGGGTTAATTAGCCTTGCAAAGTTAATAAGCAAAGGTTAAGGTTAATGAACATTATACCTTTTTGTACATGAACGTCCTTCCGTTCAATGTATAATAATCACAGGGAAAGTGGTCGTGTCTTTACAAGTGCACAATTGTGAATGTAACAAAGTTAACGTCACTTCTCGGTTGACGTCAAATCCCGGTTGACCTATACTTTTCAGCCCTTTCCGTGCAATACGTTTTGTACATTTTCAAAGGACGTTAAGCATTGACTCTCTTCGTGAAAACGCAAAATGCTGTTTCCAAGATGTTTGCCCTCGACAACATTAATTTAATTATGACATTTATGATGTTTTGTTTGTGGAAGCATGTCAAAATGGTCAAGCACAATATTGTAAAATAGAATATTGGAAAAAATGGAAAGCGACAAAGATTCATTCTTTTGACATTAGCTTGAGTTCTTGATAACGGTGACGGAATGTGACAGGCTGAACGCAAAATTGGCGTCCATTTAGGTCGCGCGCGCTTTTCAGCAGGGCGAGAACCGGAGTAGTCAAACATTAAGGCCGGTTTACGCGAAAACGAAGCGAATTTGACGTGACCCAAAATTTAAAACGGGATTTCACCCGAGTTGAAAGTGTGTGCAAGTTTGTAGAATTAGCGATGCGAATATTTGATCTCCTCTCCCCATTTCGCGTTCGTATTCGCTTTTGTGTAGCGTCTGAACCGGCCTCAGTTACGCAAATTTTGTGTGCTAATTAGTAATGTTCTAAAAGATTTTGAAACAATATGTCAAAATTTGTAAAATGAATTCATCATTTCCTCTTTATGTGACGATGTCTATTAGTCAACTAAATATTAGTTGATTAGTCCATCATTAAATTAGTCGATCAATCGTCCAGCAACTTTAACGACAATCCCCTCAACAAACTCGTCAACTTACTAATTACTTGCGTCTCTTACATTTTCCTCGTTTTTGACGACTCTTTCACCCCGGTTGACTAAATAAAGTTTTCAATGATCTTAAGGCACAAAAAAAGTCATAGATAACAAGTTCGTAAGTTCGGGTTTACCGTGGTTCTGGAACCACGATATATTTTTCGGTGTTAATTGTCTATTTCTAGCAATTATTAAACGAACTTTCTATTCCTATTAAAAAAGAGCTCTTTTCCCGGCATTTGTACGAGGTAGGGTGAGGTGCGGTGGCCGGATGTCCATACTTTTATAAATTATTTGAGCGAACGAAACTATAGGTCCACCTGATTCTTATTCCTGACATCCCATAAATCAGTCCAATACCGTGGATAGCGATGGTTAACCTTCCCCATTAATGAGGGATTAATGCAGGCCATTTTAACCAGTTGTATCTAACCAAGCCAGAAACAAATCAAGTTGGATAGGCCCCGTGTGTGTTTCGGTTGAGAGGATGGTACAAGTGAGCCAAGCCAAATCTTGAACGAATTCTTAACAATTAAAATGGATCCGTTTTATACGATGCCAAGTTACTTCTGACAAAGATGTAGCCCCACTTTATGCGAATGAGGCGGATCCGCGCAACGAGTAAATACAGCGATGGCGTAAATCGGGGGTTCTGCTTCTTATTCTAACGAAAGTAGGCCTATCTGGTTTTTCTTTTTTTTTGGGGGGGGGGCTGCGTTTATATCCAAAAGTAAATAATAAAGTGAACCAGCAATTACTTTCGCATATCTTGACATCGTTACTTCTTACAGTAAGGGGTTACACGTTAACGCGTGCTCAGAGGGCAAGAGCCTTGTATCACCGAGACAGGCTCGAGTAAATCTTTTGTGCGTGAATTCGTTACAATTAATGAAAATAATACAAACTGTAAAAAAAGCTTGCTGGCTACACAATGACCTAAAATGCAAATTACAAAAGTAGGAGGACCTGACGTTTCAATTTTAGCAAAATCTTTCTTAAGGGCACTTTGCTAGAGAGAAGCAATGACGACCTTCTGAATGCAAAGGAACAAAATAAATTGCTTCACTTAGCTTTACACCGATAAAATCTAAGAGTAACAATCTCCCACTTCCTTCTTTCATTCTCCCTCCAAAAAAGACGTCAAAACCTGAGCGTCTCGTACTCCGTTGTTTCCAACACCTGCATTATTTGGTGTAAGATAATTTTGTACAGTGGCCAGTAATCGTATTTATTATGTTCGTAAGAAAAAAATGTAGCCATCCATGGATCAAATCATCTTTCAAATCATAACCCGCCAGATAGCGGTTGTCACGCCAAAGGCTGCACAGTTGTTTGTATAAGTTAACGCATGCTCTGTTATATGGATATAGGGCAACGTACAATGGACTAAGCCGTCCTTTGGCATTCGTATGACTACGCTTTTATAACAATTAAGGCCACTAGGCCTATAACAACTGAGGTGTTGACATA